TATATATATATATAATGACTGTACAGGAAGAACTAAAACTCCATAAAGTATAAAATTCTATATTTAATTCAAGTTGGCTCAGTCTAGACCAGTGGTTCTCAACAGTTTTCTTTCATGTACCCTTTTCACCATTGCTAGATGATCATTTAAACCCTCCTTTCCAAAACTTGAAAAGTACATATGCATTTATTTAAATAAAGATTATTTTATTATTTTAATGTGTTTTATAAATTTAACAAGTATAAAAAATGTTGATAAATACCAAAATTTGAGCAAAATTGGTTTTCATATTCATAAACTTAAACTAAATAGTTAACAGGTAAACAAAAGTTTGACTAGATTACTCCCTGAAACTAAGAAATTCCCCTTAGGGGTATTCCTCCTGATTGAGGACCTATAGTCTAGACTGAATTAGTTTTTAATAGTGACTTGAATGTACAGATAATTTAATTTGTCATACTTCTTTTATACTAACTTTTGTTATATAATACTTCGGATTACGTGCATGTTTTTTGAAAACAAAAGTCAAGACACAAATTAAAAATAAAAAATTAGGTCTAAAATTTGATGCTGAATTTAAAAACGTTTATTAGCCAGCTTAATAAACCTAAGAGATTAAATTAGAATTATACCTTGCGTGTTCTTACTAACTTCTGTTTAATGAATTATTCTTAGGAAAGAACCTTAAAAAAACTGGTGAAATATTTCATGCTAGAAAACAAGATATTAGAAACTTTTAAACTCATTCAATAAGGAAAAAAATTATTCAAAACGTAGCTCTATAATTACGCATTTTTTCTACTGGATCGCCAACAAACGAGGTTTATAAGAAATATCTCCTGCAAGTTATGTGGCTGCTATTTCTGTGTTGTCAGAATATGAAATTCATATAGGGAAAACAATGCATTTCGAGGTGGTGAAAATGATGTTAATTTGATATTTCTTCTAAATAATAAATTTTTACATGATATGCATTTCTTTTTCTTAATCTAGGCGAAATAATATTTAATATGCAATTACAGCATAAAACTCACAAAAGAAGTGTTACAGTGAAATTCAGTCCCAGAATTCTAGTGAAATTCAGTTTCTAAATGCTCTTTAAATTTGCCTCATTGAAAGTTTTTGTATATAAATAATTATGGTAAAGTAAAATGAACTTTTTTTTAAGCGTTTACAGTTAATCGAGTAACATAACATTTTTTATTGAAATACGATTTATTTTTAAAGTCCAAGATTATTTTTCTTACAATGTTGGACTCATGGTTAATAAATCCTCTTGTTCTTGAGTTCAGAATCCTTCATTATTTAAATTATTCGAATAATATCCGTTTTCAACCATACAAAAGTTAAAAAGAAAAATATTACTTTTATGTAAATTTTAATATATGTAATAATTTAATTTTTAGAAATAGTTCAATAGTTTTATGTTTAAACATTGGTTTTGTTTTGATATAACAGACATGTTTAATTAGTTCATCGAAAAGTTGTTAGAGACACTATCCAATCAGGAACTAGCATCTTTTCCCACTCTGCAGTTTTACTGCAAAAATAGTGAATTATCCCTTTAAAATGGTTAAAAAAATATTTTCAAATCATCTTCAGTAATATTTAATTCCTTTCGTTTTCCACTTATTGAAAATTTTTTAAATATCTGAAATTCTAGTTAAGTCCTTAGATAAAAATTATTCAAGAACTACACTAAAGTAAATGCAAGAAAGGGCTTAACTTCAGTTACAAGCAGAATTTCAGATATTGTTCTTTTCTTGTAACCAACAGAAAATATCTAAAATTCTCTTTATTTCTCACCAACCTGTAATTGCTCTCCTGCCACCCTCTCCCTTCTGAGGCCGTTCTTTGGCACCCCCCCTTCGATAGGGGATAGAGCAATTAAGCAAAGCTGTCCTCTCTTTAACTGCTTTTTCACTCAGCTGGGGGCAAAAGAAAAGGAATGCAATGGTTTCCCACTTGAATAGCCTTCGGCCAGTTAGAAAACTACATGACAAAAGCCCACAAGATGAATGCTCTTTAAAAACAGCATACATTTTCAGGAAATCCAAAATAGCTATGACTTCTTGGAAAATGTTATGAATAATAATTATTATGATTAAAAACGAAATTTCAAGTAAGAATGAATTTGATTTATGTAAAATCGAAGTTTCAAAATTTAACTAAATTATTTGAAACCATGCTTTTAATTAACTATTAAAACCGTATTTGTGATAGCGCACATGAATGTTTTCTTAATCATAATAGAATACGGTACTTTTACAGTGGATGGACAAAAATATGGAAACACCTTGTGAAATGCATGTTTGAAAAGAAAGATTGATTTTAATGAAATATGTAGGTGACGCTGGCGTTTTTGACTACTGATGCCACCTATACAACTTCGTAAATGTGCTAAACAGTTCAGTTGTTGTCGGAGTACTGTTATGTGAGGTTGTCATTGCATTATGTCACAGTTAACAGACTTCGAACGTGGGCAAATTGTTGGAGCACGTATGGTAGGTGCTTCCGTAAGCAAGGTAGCCGAGGTGTTTAGTGTTTCTAGAGGTACTGTATCGAAGATTTATTCCGCATATTTGAAAAGCGGAAAAACATCATCTGCTAAATCACAGTGCGGACGAAAGTGTGTCCTGAATGATCGTGACAGACGATCATTAAGGGCAATTGTGACGAAAAATAAGAAGACCACAGCTGCAAAAGTTACTGCTGAAATGAATGTTGTGTTACCGAACCCTGTGAGTACCAAAACAATTAGAAGGGAGCTTCATAAATAGGGAATTGCTGGCCGTGCTGCAATTGAGAAGCCACTCATCAGTGATGCTAATGCCCGTAACAGGAAAAGGTGGTGTTTAAGTCATAAAGCCTGGACTATAGAGCAGTGGAAGTGAGTCATATGGTCTGACGAGTCTTCTTTCACATTGTTTCCCACTTCTGGCTGAGTTTACATCTGGAGAACGCCATCTCAAGCCTATAATACAGACTGCTTGTTCCCAAGAGTGAAACATGGCGGGGGTTCTGTTATGGTTTGGGCAGCCATATCGTGGTTCTCTGCTAGCCCCATGATAATGGGCTAGCAGATATCCTTTGTCGCGTGTCAGGGCACATGACTGCCAAGACTTATGTGAACATTTTGGCCGATCAAGTTCATCCCATGGTACAAACTTTGTTCCCCGATGGTGATGGTGTCTTCCAAGACGACAAAGCCCCTGTTCACACAGCTCACATTGTCTAGGACTGGTTTTCTGAGCACGAGGATGAGTTGTCCCATCTCCCCTGGCCACCACAGTCAACAGACCTGAATATTATCGAACCTTTGTGGTCTACATTTGAACGGAAAGTGCGTTCTCGTTAACCACCGCCAACATCGTTATCTGAACTTGCCACCGTTTCGCAGGAAGAATGGTATAATATTCCCTTGGCAAACATACAGGAACTGTATTTATCCATTCCAAGAAGACTGCAAGCTGTTTTGGATGCCAACGGGTTTCCTACACCATATTAAGCAAAGAAACATGTTTTTTTAAAGGTGTTTCCACATTTTTGTCCAACCCCTGTATCTTTTTCATTGAAATTAGAATTCTCCGTATTAAATTCATTATATACAACATTTTCTGAATTGTTAAATTATTCATAACTTATTCTCTATATATGATGAAAATTTGCATGCATTTTATACTCCTTATAATTTTTTAGAATTAAAAGAAGCAGTGCGGTCCTTTCACTTCCCCTTTGTCAGAATTATACGAGGTCACTTTCCTTTGTCGCGTAAATATAATAACAAAGTTACACATACATGTATATGTTTTTAATTACATTATTTTGATTCAATCTCTGTTCTGTATACATGCAGGGTTTTAATTCAAACAGAGCCCAAAATGATATATGTTCCGCTACTTAAATTTATTGTTCAATTATTTGTTATTAATTAATTTTTTATTTTATCTTTATTCATGAATCTGCTTTACAGCTGAATAAAAAAGAAAAAATATTAATTGTAACGTAGCATATATATCGGTATGGGTTTTTGTCAGTGTGGGCTTTTATCAGCATGGCCTTATATCTATGTGGGCTTTTATCAATGTGTGCTTTCATCAGTGTGGGTATTTATATCAGTGTGGACAATTATCATAGTGGGGTCTTTTTTGTGGGCTTTTGTCATGTGCGCTTTCGTCCAGTGGGCTTTTGTCTGGTGACCAATTTTCACAGTTTATGTTTCATTAGTTCAATAAATTTCATTTACTCATAACAAACATTTTTCTTAGTAATGGACATAACACTAACATGAAGAATTTAACCATTGATCCATACAACATCAGTATAGCATCATCAACAAAAATAAACAGAGGGGAAAAAACAAGCAAAATCGTTAAAAGTTTATAACAACCTAGGGTCATGCTCCTTTGAGAACTCAGAATTTGATTCAGAAATGCTCATAGGTGCGGAATTACAGATAAAATAAAATCTACTGCTTAAAGCAAACTTTGATGCAGTAAATATTCTTAATGACCATCTTTATATCCTATAAATGAGAGCAAGAGACTTGGAAACATTAGAGATATAATTTATTCAGTTTGTTTTGTAGTGCAAGAAACAGACCTGAAACAAAGCCAATTTGCCAGTGTTTGGAGGTATTCTATAGTTAGAAAATATCATTATAATGGTCATCATGCATATGGCATGGCTCTAATATCTCCCATGGTTCCCATCAAGTACATCTCTCTTTAGCTGTGAACCTTAAAGCTACTGCCGTATAACTAAATATTCAGCTAGTCTATTCATTTAGAGAACAGAGTGATTTCTCCTTATCAGACTATTATTATTTGTTGTCACCTTATATACTTCAAAATGGTGTATATATAATCTGTATGTTTGGCACATTATAACCATTTAGGTTATGCACCATAAATACCCACTATCCAATAAAGTACAAAATTCTTCCTTCACTAAAAATGACAAAAAATAAAACTGATGTCTACCACAAAAAACTAAGAATGTAATTTTACCAATTATTTATTAACTAACTTAAAAATATTTATCTTTACATCTGTACATATTTTAGAAAAATAACTATACAATGATTATATAAAACATATTTAAATTCCATATAGATCAACTTTATGCGAAATCTTTTTACAACCAGAAATAGCAAACAATTCAAATTCTTGTGGTTGATAAACAATCTGATCTGCAATCTGATTCACAATACTTTCATTGACGGTCAGTTGTCGCATTTTAAGTTCTTCAACAATACACTGCTTCACGTGTTTCTTTTCTAGAGGTAGAAAGGGAACATATACATCAATAAGGTTTTTTTCAACGATTTCACTATGCTGCAATCCCCCTGTTAAGAAAAAACAATACAATTAATTGTAAACTTACAAATAAATACCCATATTTCACTCTTTTAAACAAATACTAAGCATTCTATTTGCTGACAATATATTTATTTCAGTAAATGTAAGAAAAAGAATAAAAGAACATGATTATTTATATTTTATTAATTTCTCAACTGGTATAAAAATTACTACCATTTTAAAAGACACAACCTTTAAAAACATGTCAGAAATATACTACCTAAAATAAAATGTAAAATGACATTTCTTTCAGTAGCCTCAAAACTGCATATACTGACACTGCAAATAACTAAAAGGCATTAATATTCTTTATACAAAATTCATTGTAATACTTGATTTTGAGAAACAGAGGAATTACAACATGAGTTAAAGCAGGAGACCTGTTTACAACCAACACTAGGAAATGATACATTTGTGCATCCTTAGTTTTATACAGATCCTTGTATATATGTACTTTCTCAAAAGCTGTCTTATACTTATATTAACTACAAATGTAACAGGCTTGTTTCCAGCCTAGTTCCTCAAATGTATCATGTATTCCAGTGCATGAAATAAAACATAAAATCATATACACAGTGCATTGTATGCATAAAATCATATACACAGTGCATTGTATGCATAAAATCATATACACAGTACACAGTGCAGTGTATACACAGTGCATACACAGTGCACAGTGTACTGTTTAGAAAGGATGACAACTAGCAATGCTTCATAGATTCATTCTCTTAATCACTGGCTTGCAACTTACACATTTTTATTGAAATAGTATCCATAAAAATATAAGAACACATGTACCCAAATTTGGAAGTATGGGAAAAAATTAAATTTACACGATTAATCAAGAGCATGCAGTTGCTTTTCTTTAATTTAGAGTAATCAGAATAAATATTAAATTTAAGAATAACTTATTTTAAGAAAACTATATTGAACATTTTTAAAATACAATTTTTCTGCATAAATACCTCTATACACAAAAGATAAGAACTTTGAAAGATAATGCATTAAAATTATCATCTTTCTAAGAAAAACTATAACAGACTAGTAAATTATAACAAAGAATTAAGTAAATTATTTGAAAGATAATGCATTAAAATTATCATCTTCTAAGAAAAACTATAACAGACTAGTAAATTATAACAACCCAAATAAGATTTATTACAAAATACATTTTATGACATTCCTTTTAATATTACATGGATATTCAAAATATTAACCATTTTCATTAAATGCTCCTTTGTTAATTAATGGTTCAATATCCCTCAGGGTGATATCTTCCCTGTCTTTACCATCAAGCCAAAAATTAAATGCAGTTCTTGTAATTTCACTACCACCTGCATTACTAAAAGAAATAAAAATCCAATTAAAGATTTGTTAGTGATAATAAGCTGCATAAAAAAGGTCAAATTCATTTGGCAGAGTATTCTATATACTATGGAAAGTCTTTGGCAAAAATGAGAACTATAAGAGTTACACATTATATTTTAAAATAACCATTATTATAATGACAACAATATATAACTCAATATTTTATCAACATTTCATTTATTTGTTAGCTTGCTCATGTTGTGTTTATTTTTCATAATAATATGAATATTGCTTTAAGCAAGCAATTTATAACATTTGGAAAATAAAAGATAATTCAATGAAAAGATGAATTATCTTTTGTTTTCTGAATGTTACAGATTCATGCCAAAATTTAGTCAACCAAAAATTCACATTACTTATAGTGCACAAGTGCTGCTTAGGAGAAGAGTTTAAACTAAAATGATTTTAATGTAGTTTCATGCTGTATGATTATAATCATACTAAAATGGTAACATTTTATCTTTCTTTCAGTGCTCTATTGCAAGACATCTTACATGACACAAATAAATAAATGTGTCCAGGAGTGTCCGTTTTACAAACCAAAAAAAAAAAAAAAAAAATTGCAAATACGAAAAAGAGAATCACTACAAAAATGCCATGATAGATATTTCATTGGCAAGAAATGTCAGCTGGGATAACCTATAAATACATGGATTTTCTAGAAAATTTTTATACAAGAATTACAAAGTATCACAAAAAGTTCAAACTTCTTGTAGTGTACAATTTCTATGATTTTGCTCTTATACTTTTTATTATTTTTTAAATTGGCTTCTAGGCATTCCTCGTAGAATTATTATTTGTTTTCTGCATGCATAAAGTAATACTTAAATTTTTACAGTTATATGTATGATCCTATGTTTAGTTTTTGGAAACAGTGTAAACAGAAAAGTTAATTACAACAAATCATCCCTCCTACAACACGGCACTCAGTAACACACTTTCGCTTTAACACAATTCATAAATTCCAAGGATCCTAATATAACACCGCTTTGTTCTAACATGATAAGAAAATTGCCTAAGCAATCCGAAGAAATTTAACGAACTCCTCATGAAATTTTTCCATATTTGAGTAAAGCAGCCACATAACACATCATAAGAACCCTTGTTTCGAAGTCCAGCAGTTGTCTTCCAAGATCCGGTTCCCGTAGGAACAAATGTCCTCATGTAGATGAGCCATGTGGTGGAAAGCAACTGTTGAATTCCTAACCGATAACAGAGGAAAATCGTTTCCTTCCATGACTTCACAATAGAAACGATACCCAATCTCAAGACAGCACAATCACCAGATAATACTGAAGAAACCTCACTAATGCAGAAGGTGAACAACATGAAGTCACAGAGTAAGAGCTCCAAAATGCACAACCTGTATTTTGGCTTCCAAAATTCGAATCCTCACCTCTGTAGCCTGAAAACAAAAGTGTCTCACACTGCTGGTTGGCAGTCTGCGTCACGCCATGGTGTGTTAAAGAATAAATTTTTCGTCTTTAAGAGATTGAATTTCTGTCCCAAAACATGTCCAATAGAGATGAAAAAAACAACATTTATGAGGAAATTTCTTTCTTTAGAAGAAAAGATAAAAATCTTGGATCCTCTTTTAAAAGAAGAAAAGGCACCTCACATTGGAAAAAGTCTTGATTTGAATGAAGCAACAGTCTGGACTATTAAGGAAAATGAAAAAGAAATAAGTGCAGATGCTGCAGGATTTTTGACATTCGCAAAATGTGCAGCACGCCCCCCAGGTGCCAAAAATTGAGAAGATGGAGAAGGCACTCAGCATTTGGATTGATGATAGCTGTCAAAAAAAGAATTCCATTGGATGGTAATATCATTAAACAAAAAGCACTCAATATTTACAAGCACAGAACTTGGAGAATCCTCTGTCAACCCAGATTTTGTGGCATGTAAAGACTGGTTCAAAAATTTCAAAAAGCATTTTTTAATTCATAGCATAAGAATTAAAGGAGAATATGCATCAGCTGATTGTGAAGCTGCTGGGAAATATCCTGGAAAAAAATCAAAATATTATAGAAGAACAAGGGATACACAGGAGATCAAGTTTTCAATGCTGACAAAACTTGGCTTTGGCAGAAAAAAATGCCCAGTGGAACCTTTATATATATATAAACTGCAACCAGATTTAAGGTGTGTAAAGATCATTTAATGCTACTTTTGTGCGGTAATGCATCAGGGGAATTCATGACAAAACGCTTGTTAGTTTATAGATCTTTAAATCCTCGTGCACTTTAAGGCATAAATCAAAACACCTTACAGGTACATTGAGAAGCTAATCCAAGAGATTGAGTACCTGGAAATTTATTTAAAGATTGGTATTTAAATTGTTTTGTGCCAGACGTTGAATGTTATTTAAGGCAGAAAAATTTGAGCATCAAGCCGCTATTGCTATTCGATAATACTCCATGCACAAGATTTGAATCATCCCAACATCAAAATACTGTTCCTACCACTTAACACTACTTTGTTACTCCAACAACTGGATCAAGGTATTACTTATACCTTTAAAATGTATTGCATAAGAAGAGCATTACACTGGATTTTAGATGTAACCGATTCAAAATCAATTAATGTAATGGAAGCTTAAAAGAAATTTTCAATCAAGCACTAAATCAACATCATATCTTTGTCGCTGAAAGAGAACTGAAAGCATCAACTTAAATGCATGTTGGATGAAGATATGGCCCTCTTCATCTGAAATAGCAAATGCACGTGAATCGTCAGAAAATGAAATTTGTGGCATATTAGAACTTGCTAAATCAATCGGAGGTGAATATTTTGTAGATATGGCTATTGAGGACATTGAATTTATTAGTGGAAGAACTGACAAAGCAGATCTAATGGAAATGGCATCCAAGGCTGTAAATAAAATCGATTTTGAGGACAGTAGCACTGATGGAAGATTGTGCAGTGAATAATTTAATGCAGATCCTTCCGCTGAAAGAAGCCAAAAATTTAAAAAGCAGCTGCAAAACTGCTTAACTCCAAATTGAGAAATTTATGATGACCTTGTAAGAACTAGTAAGCACAGTAAAATTACATATTTTTTTAAAGAGAGAAGAAAATGCTATAACTTTAAATAAAGAAAAAAATTCTGAAAGTGAAAGCAATATTCCACCAAAAAAAAAAAAGTTCTTGGTTGATTATATTAAGCAATGATGATGCGAAAAGTTTTTAAACTAAAGTTGCTTTAAATTAAAATATGTAATATTTTGTGTTGTACATCCATATATAATTTTAATAAAAATTAAGTTAGTTATGTAGAATTTTAAAAAATACTTGTTTTTAATACGTTTTGGGAATGTAGCCCCCCTTTTTGTACTGGCTCTGTGTCCCATACAGCATGGTTTTACACAAGATGGCATTTTCTAGGAACCTGTCTACTGTGTTATATGAGGGTTACCTTTAAATGTTCTAGATATATTTGCCTTATGAAACACAGATCATGCAAGCATGATTTCTAGGAGAAAAGTTAACAGATATTCATAGAATACAACAATGAAAAATTTATGCTCACCAAAATAATAAAATTAGTTCATGGTTTCACAAATTTCTGTTAGTCACTTAAGGAAATGCATAGTTTTATTGCAATATCTACAAAAATATTTTAACTTGATTAAAAAATAAAATGCCTTTATCTACCTTAAGAAAATGAAGATATTTTTCCGAAAGTCAATTCCTCCAACATCTTCATAAAAATTAATAAATGGCTTCAAAACATCTATAACCCCAGGCACCATTTTATCCATTTCATCAAAAATAAATAATGACTGTCCACACTCTTTCGTGAATTTTATTATTTCCATCTGCAGTCTCTCCTAATAAAAGAGGTAAATTTGTCACTAATTAATATTTTAAAAATATGAATAGTTATAAGACATCAGTTTCAATGTGCTCTGTGTAACTAAATGAAGAAAACACAAAATATATATAAAAATAATAATAATAATTAAATTAAAAACAAGCAATAAGAACTGATTAGATTTCACTGTTAAACTTAACAATATTAAAAACAATATTCCATCTTAATTTACCAAACTTCTCATTTTAATTTGCTGGTACTTTGATTAAATTGGAGACATCATTTCGAAAGCACTTCCATGTACATTTTGTAAACTTCTGACATGAAAACTAAGAAAGAACAGTTTGAAAATGATTTAGTAATTTATTAGCCTAGGATTGCTGTTACTCCACAGGATGCAATAAAATTACCTAGACTACTTTATTTTTACAATGCATTCACTGATTTTCCATAACAATTATATGCAGTAATGTCGGAAATATTTAAAACCAATTCGAGAAATTTTAATAATAAAAAAATGTAGGAAAAACAAAGAATTTAAGAATAAACAATAACACTACATTTTAAAACATAAAACATATGAAAGAACATTTTTGATACTCGTAAAAGAGATCTGAAAAAGGAAATTTCTGATGAATATACATTACTCAGGTAACAGTAAACACTACTTAACAGTTAGAAAAATGAACCACTAGAAATACTCCACATTAAGAAGGCAAAGAAAATTCTGCATTCCTATTAATCCCTTTAATAATAAATGCAGGAAGTAAGACTTTTTATTCTGGAATGGATTTGCCCAAATTCTAGAAAACGAACTTGAGAAAACTTTTAAACCAAATGAAAATGTGTGATTCTTTCTTATACAGAACAGATGGAGTTGAGAAAACTTTTAAACCAAATGAGAATAATTCTTTCTTATATAGAACAGAGTGGTGCATTTACAATATTAAGTGAGGTGCATTTACAATGCACCCCACTTCATTAAAAGAAGTTTTTGAAACAATTCGAAATTTAATGTCAGGAAAGCTTATTTTTAGGACTTACTATGTAGCAAGGCCATCCGGCAATTTACCAGGAGATGCATTGTGGTAATAACAAGCATTTTCAGCACCTGCCATAAGATTTGCTATTACCCACAATAGCAGAAGCATTCAATAACAATTGCAATTCTGAAACTGGGTAAAAATCCAAAACTTGTCACAAGTTACTATCCACTTATTATTTTGTATGAGAAAGGTATTTAAATGCATAATTCATTCATGATTTGAATTACAACATTATCAATGACTTCACATTATTCTATACAGTTCTAACATGGGCAACAGCTCCAAAAATGTATAGAAAAAGATTGATGATTTTTACACTCATGTCCATAAATTAAGGATAATGCAAAATCAGGCAAAGGAAGAGTTAGAAGCAAAACAAATTTGACTTATTTGTAAAGCTTATTTATTAAACAAAAGGGAAATTGCAAAAAAAAGATTCTATATGTTTGATATTATTAAAAAATTTAGCGATTTTTTCTCCCTGGAGCAAATTACAAAAAACATCTATTTACAAAAAGCCAATATTACATGGTTGGTATGATTGTTAATACATTGTATGTCTCCCAGACGATGCAGTACAGTCAGTACAACGCCTAGGCATGCTGAGTATCAAATTATCGATCTGATCTTGGGGGATATTACACCACTCAAAAAGCAAAGCTCTCCGAAGTTCCGGTAGACATGTAGGAGGAGGTTGACGGGCTGCAACTCATCAGCCAAGCATGTCCCACATATGCTCTACTGGATTTAAGTCTGGTAAGAATGCTGGCCAGTCCATAGGGTGATATCCTCCGATTGAAGGCATTCGCTTACAATGTTTGCACGGTGAGGACGGGCGTTGCCATCCATAAACACAAATTGTGCGCCAATGGCAACCTGAAACAAATGTACATGTTGTTCCAGAATGACGTCCCGATAGATTTGGTTTGTCATGGTTCCAATTTGAACATGCAGGTCAGTTCTGGAACCCAGATTAATTCCACCCCAAACGAGCAGTCCTGCACCACCGTAACGGTGTCATTCAATGATGTTTTCTTGGTGGTAACGGGTACCTCCATATGAAAGTCCTTCGAAAATCAGACTGCAAACTAAACCTGGACTCGTCGGAAAACATCACACAAGCCCACTGTTGCGGCGTCCACAATGCATGCTCTCTACTCCAGGCTAACCGCAGGCAACAGTGAGTTGCAGTAAGTGGAACACATCTGAAAGGTCTACGAGCATATAGACCAATCTGCCCTAAGCATCTGTACACGGTCTGCCTTGAAATTGTCGTACTAGTGGCTGAAGAGAGCTGACAAGACAGGTGTGAGACTGTGCTCCCCCTGTTTCTTTTGGCGGTAACTGCCAAAAACCGGTCTTCATTCGGCATTGTAACTCTGGGGCGACCTGTGCTGTAATGTCTACTCACATCACCATCATCTTGGAATCGTTGCCAAAGTCTGGAGATGACACTCTGTGTAATTCCGAGTTCGTCTGATACTTCCAGTTAGGTACGCCCACATTCCAGACGGCCGATAATTCTACCACGTAAAAAATCATCCAAATGCGTCCATTGTGTAATAATTATTCGGTTATTGCACTGAAATGCTTATAAAGCACCTGCGAACAATTTTACTTCTTCGCCTGTATTCCTTATATATCATTCTCTTACACTCTCGTCATTGTGGCGTACCATCGGCGTCATCTGGTTACTTCCTGAAATTTGCATATGATTCTTGAAGATGTGTGTAGCGATTTTACAGGTGATATATTTATTTTAGAGTTCGATATCCGCGTGACTCCGAATTATCCTTAATTTATGTACACGAGTGTAATTTGGGTTTAGACATGGGCACAGCACCATTTTACCAAGTTTTAAATGTGATTGAAATGAATGTAGAGGCATTTAACAAAAAAAGGAATCTGTTACAGCATCCTTCCTAAACAAATCAAAAAGCATTTGACGATGTTTGGCACACCAGACTAATTCTAAAGTTGTCAAGAACGCTTGTGTCAGCTGACTTAATAACCATGATAAAATTGTAAGTGTAATATATTTCAGGTTAATATAGGTGATATTCTATCTAGCAGAAAAGTAATAAGTGCCAGTGTTCCTCAAGGATCTATCTTAGGCCTGACACTTTATATAATCATAAATGACTTTTCAGTGTCACTTTAATGAAAAGTGGTGATATATGCCAACAATACAGTAGAATATTATCATACATTACTGTAGAATCTGGAAAATTAAATTAAATGTGAGCAAATGAAATACAGCAAATGAAGTATAATCCTTTTCAGAAGATACAAAAACCAGTATAATCAATGACTCATTCCAGTAAATGAAAAATACAAATATCTCAGAATTATCTTTGGCAGTCAAATGAAATTTACAAAACATGTAAACTGCACCTTGCAGAAGACAAATGCTGCCTACATGGCAAATTACATATTATTAGGCAGGATATCAAAATTAAATCTAAGAGTGTAGAGAACTCTTTAGTTAATTCTAACAATACCCACTTTATTCTCTACAGTCCTAACATGAGCAACAGCTCCAAAAATATATAGAAAAAGATTGATTATTTTTAAAATAAGATTCTGAGAAGAATGGTAAATGTACCATGATTTATGAGAAATTTGCAGACCCATGAGGATATAAAAATGGCACTTATGTAGTAAGTGCCTTAGTAGAAGCTGCCAAATTTTCAGAATCTGCCAAACCTTGGTAACCATGCTCATAACAATCTAGTCAAGCAATGGCAGCATTTTTGTATGCATGTTCCAATGGTTTTTACAAATTGTGATATTTTTTGCTTTAAACTTAGTTTTATTATCAGCTTGTGGAATTTGCCAGCAGTGGAAGAAACTGTAGTACAATTTCTGCAGGAATACAGAATTTTGCTGAAAATATTCTGAAGGGAACACTGAAAAAATACATTTCCTAGATAGAAGCTGTTGCTGAGGCTTGCACAAAGCTAAGTCTCTACAATTCTCTTATTTTTTTTTAAGCTAAAACAGATTGCTGTGTGTACTTTGGGAGAAGAATAGCTCTATAAAATTACAGAAAGATTAATGTTTTATCTTTAATATATCATGCAATTCTTATTTAATAATTCAAATTTGTATTTTAAATTTCTGAGGTTATTTTCTTTTCATATGTTGATAATGTTTACTAACTTATGATAAATATTAATAGTTTGAATTTTTTTTCTATAAAAAGGCATGAAAACCACTATCTCGCACCCAATAAGTAACTTTTAACTTTTTATCCATAAAAAATTGCCAAGTTACATCAAGGTGCTTACATTAGTACCAAAAAATTATAAATATGAATGATTATTTCCCAATGGAAGTTTTTAAGTTCTACATAAAAACCTCAAACTCCAGTTGTCTGCATTAGCAAAACTTAATATCATCCAACAATAGAAAACTTATATAAAAGATATTTCATCAAAATTTGACTTAACAACTGACTTAGAAGAATGAGGCAATATTTTTGTTTAATGCAAACTCGCTAGCGAAATCATAGCTGGGATGAGAAAGAGAACTTCATTAGTCAGTTAAGCAACATTCTCACACTGGTCAGCACAATGAAAAGCGACTTTTTAGAAGCAAGTTTGAAACTGCATGTAAACCTATGGCATTACTGACTGTGCCTTTTCCAAAGCCAACCTTCAAGCAAAAATGTGTTTTTTGCATTTAATTTTATGGTCTTAAAGTAAATATTCATTCGTAGTAATAGCCTGCAGAAGAAAGAAGATCTAACATCCACAGGCAGGATTTTTAAAAATAAGAGGAAAAACTATACACTTTATAACAAAATAAAAACAATATAGTACAATCTAATAACAAATGTCATATATTCAATGGCAACAATTTTCTTAACAGATAAATATTTAAGTTATAAATAAAATTACCATTAATAAAAAGCACAATTTAAGACCATCAAAAATTGATTGTCATCCAGATTAGTGTCACAAAAAAA